TCCTTCAGCGGTCGCTAGGCTAAAATCCTGGAGATTTCTCAGTAGTGCTGCAAGCATTCTTTTGTAACATGCTCAGGAATAGTTCAAGTAGTGGTTCAGCCTTTCAGAGGCAGTGAGTGATGGGCAATAAAGATTGGCCTTATCAATGATTCCCATGCCCTCTGTATGAATAAAAAAGAATTAATGGTTCAGTTATCAGTTACTTCTGTCATTACTTTTCTTCCTTTGTCTGACAGATAAGATTGAAGCAGGGAGGTTGCTTCCACTGGAGGTGAAACTAGTACTAGGGTCATAGCCTCAAAATAAGGGGGAACCCATTTAGGATTGAGTTGAGGAGGAACTTCTTCACCCAACGGCTTGTGAATCTGTGGAATTCCCTGCCCAGTGAACCAGCTGAGGATACCTCGTTGAATGTTTTTAAAGCAAAGATGGATTTTTGAACTGTAAAGTAATTAAGGGTTATGGTGAGTGGGCAGGTAAATAGAATTAATCAGCCATGATGACCTATTCCTGATCCTATTTCTTATGTTCTTACACTGAAGAGGTAGAAAAATACATTGAACATCGGCTAAAATATTTTTAAAAGTCGTATGGAAGTGCAAATCTTGCCTGAAAAGGCAGCACTTCTTCCAACTGTGGTTTGTAGTTTGGTTATTAAGTTTTTTAAAAAAGTGTGAAAATTGCTTCTTTACTTTAAATTAGCACTTTAAGCAGCTTCTGTGTACCACATGACGATAAAAGGCAGAAGCATTGCTGAGCAGGATATCCGCTTAAGCATTGGAAAGTGAAACAACCCTGCTGTATTCTTTCAACTAAATACTGCATATGTGCTTAAGGCACCCACTCAAAAAATGCAAAAGATGTTGTCAAAGCAAATACTCCCTCCCCAGTGGAAAGATAGAAAGGGTATGTTTCTAGTGGGCAGGACTGTTAAACATTCCGTTTCCTGGTCCCCATTCAACTGAACTTCTTTAATCCTTTAGCTGTGGTAATCTTACCCATCGGAAAGTTTGCTCTTGCGCATCAATAGAAGTGAAATGAGACAGATCAGACCCAGCAATGATATGCAGAATAGAACAATAGACTGTTCCAGAGGTCTGACTGGATGATTCAATTATAAAATCAGATAAAAGGAACCATTAATAAATTGTGTTAGATATTATTATCTTTTCCAGGACTTTCCTTTCCAAAGAATTGAACTAGATGTTCTGATGTGGTGGTATTGTTACTAGATTAATAACCTACAGATCCAGGTAATCAAATCATTCCATCACAGATTTTTAGAATTTGAATTTAAAAATAGCTGGAATTATAAACCTAATGACATGCATGAAACAATCTGATTTTTTAAAAAAATCTGGCTCCCTCATCATGCCCTTTGAGAGAAAGAAATCTGCTGTTGTTACCTGGCCTGGTCTACATGCGACTCCAGATCCACAGCAATGTGGTTGCCTTCACTGACCTAGGAAGCCATTCGGATGTAGACATCCACTAAGCTTAAAAATTGAATGAAACTGGACCTAGGCTTTGGAAACAACAATGTCAGACTATGTCCTGGTGACACTACAAAGTCTTCCTTACTAACATCTGGGAGTTGATGCCAAAATTGGCAGGGCTTTCAAGCTTGTCACATGCACAGAATTGTACCTGACAGAGAATCACATCATCATTATACAAGCATGGATAGTGGCTGCTTAGACCATCATTATTGTTCTAATTGTTCATTTGAAACTGTGAAATGAAGTTGAGAATTGAAATTTGAACAGTGGCTCATTTCAAAATGGAGAAGAGAACAAAAAACAAATGTTTGCTGCTGGTTACTGGCCTGGAAAGATAATGCAGGTGTTTTACTATTCTAAGGACCTCCAGAAGACTCAGCACCAAGTTATTGCTATGCTCAGGGATTGGCTGCTTGGATGTTAAATTCGTCAATCAAAGGAGGACTAGTGGTGGCCAGCCAACCACTGAGATGGTTGACAAAAAAAAAGAGAAAACAAATAGTGAATGGATTTTGGGCAGTAGGCAATTTTTGGTTTTGTTCTGTCTCTAGTTTATCTCCAGTTGTCAACTTGTTGGATGTTCTGAGAAAGGAATTACAGTCTGGAGGAAATAAGTAAAGGCCTTCAAAAGGTGTGCTGAAGCTGTTTGCATTAAGCAGTGACTTCAGAATTCAGGCAAGGTACACAGTCTGACATGCCTGTATACAAATTCTCTTCTAAGAATTTTGTAAAAGTCTGGTAGCCACTGTTGAAATGGTTATCAAACTGGCAAATTACAATTCTTTTATTTTCTTTTTCTAATTTATCCCTTAACTCTGTCTGTCTGGTGGTGTGAGAGTGGTGTGAGAGTGGTGTCTTTATGATAAAAGAAGATTGGGTTCAGATTGTCGATATTAATTAGACTGCCTTCTTATTTATTTGTACTCTACTGAAGTTACATTATTAATAATAAATTGTTTTTTTTGATTAACTTATAAACTTGCTATCCAAGATTTGCCATTGAAAAAGTCTGGTTAGTAACAACTGAGCATAAATTTGAGTGTTTAAGTGTTTAGATTCACTGTGTTGTGAATTCAGTGATAATAAGGGTGATTTAGTTTAGTTTGCTAACCCTATGCTGTAACAACATCACAATGCGATACACTTGGTAAGGAGTTGCACTGGGAATCCACAACACTGGCTTCAGAATCAACAAAGTCTCATGGCATCGGGTCAAACATGGACAAGGAATCTTCTTGCTGATTAATATATACAAATTCCTTCTGGTGATTCTGAGCACACAGCACACTAAGGGTAACAAGTGCGTAGAATATACTCTGAGTGAGGGACCTCAACATGCACCAGCAAAAGTAGCTTGGCAGCACCACTACAGGCTGAGCTGGTTGGGTCCTAAAGGACATAGCTATTAGACAGAGTCTGCAGCAGGTAGTGAAAGAACAGGCAAGAGGAAAAAAAACATACTTGACCTCATTCTCACCAATCTGGTGCTGTTGATGCATTTGTCCATGATAATATTGGTAGGAGTGACACTCCACAGTTCTTGTGGAGACAAAGACCCATCATCACATTACATTGAAGATAACCTCCATCATGTTTTGTGGTACTACCACCTTGCTAAATGGGTTAGATTTTCAACAGAGCCAGCAACATAAGACTGGGCCACCATGAGGCAATGTGGATCATTAGCAAGCAGACTTAAAGACAAATGCAACCTCATTGCCCAGCATATCACTCATTCTACCATTACCACCAAACCAGGGGGTCAACCCTGAATCAATGAAACTGTCTGCTGGTTGGAGACATACCTAACAAAAAGGAAGGTGGTTGTGGTTAGCTGAAATCCGTCATTTCAGCTCCAGGACATCTCTGCAGGAGTTCCTCAGAGTAGTGTCCTAGGCCCAGCCATCTTCAGCTGCTTCATCAATGACCTTCCCTCCACCATAAGATTAGAGTGGGGGTGTTTGCTGATGATTGCACAATGTTCAACAATATTCATGGCTCCTCAGATACTGAACCAGCCTGTGTCTGAATGCAGCAAGACCTGGACGATATCAGGCCTGCAACAAACGAGAATCTATCAATCACCAATTACCATCACTGAGTCCCCAATCTATCAACAACCTGGTGTTTCCTATTTACCAGAAACTAAACTGGATGAGCCATATAAATACAGATGATAGAACAGTAGGTAATAGGCTAGGAGTCCTGCAGTGAATGACCCATCTCCTGACTCCCCAGGCCAATCCACCATCTACAAGGAACAAGTCAGGAGTGACTGGAATGCTTCTCACTTGTCTGGATGGGTGCAGCTTGGACAACATTCAAGAAGCTCAACACTATCTGGGACAAAGCAGCCTGCTTGTTGGCATGCCCTCCATAAATGTTCATTCCCTCCGCCACTGATGATCAATGGGAGCAATGCATACCATCTAAAAGATGCACTGCAGAAATTCACCAAGGCTTCTTAGACAGCATCTTCCAAACCTATGACCTCTACCATCTAGAAGAACAGGGACGGCAGATACAATAGGAACCACCTGCAAGATTCCCCACCCCTCCCCCTCCCAACCCCAGCCCCTCACCATCTCGACTTGGAAACATATCACTGTTGTTTCACTGTCGTTGAGTTAAATTCCTGGGACTCCCTCCTGGCAGCTTTTTTTTTTGGGTGTATCTACACCAGGTCAATTGCAGCAGTTTAGGAAGGCAGCTCACCACCACCTCAAGGGCAACTAGGGATGGTAATAAATGCTGCCCTACCAGTGGCACCCACATTGCGTTGATTAATTTAGAAAATGAACTGCAATGAGCTTGCTCAGCATTCAAAATGCTCATTATCTTTTTGTTTATCATATGCCTTTTCATTTGCTCTACATTATGTGGAACAGTTAAGAAATTCACTTTATTTCTATAGGAAATCCCTCACTTCCTATGTGACAGAGAGAGAGCTCAAGGGCAGGATTTGATGTTTTGGATGGGACACCTATCTCAAGGTCAAATACAGGTCCAAACCCCACAGTGTATTCAGGAACAATCACTGACAATGATTTTGTCTGAATTGGCCAATTCATGGCCAGCAAGCAATCAGTCCCCAAGCAAGGATGATGGGAAGATTTTAAGATCTGAAAGATGAATATGAAGCTTTCAAAACTGGAAGGAACTGCAGCCTACCCAGGTGGGGAGAGCATGCCTCTACCTTGAGGCACCCTTTCACCAACTAAAGGTCTTAAATGAAAAAATGGCCAAAGGTTCTAGAATCACCACTGAAGAGGGGAATGCCCTGCTGCTGTAATAAGTGGTAGGAAGTGCTAAAAGTCTGCCTGGAGAATTACTCCTGATCACTGCCCCTGGGTTAGGTCTGTCACCAAGAGGCTAACTTTAAACACCTGCTGCTTGTGAGTGTTTGGCCATTCTGCCCCAAACCAGTCTCCGGCAACAAGACTTAGGGGCTAGATGGTGCCCTCAAACTGGCACACCACCTGATGGTACAAAGTTACTCACCTGCCCATTTCCTTCCTTGCCTTCATATTGGAGAACAAATCCTGCCTTGGATATCTGTAAATTATTATCAAATAGTCAAGCAGAGAAGCTTCTTACATTTTAATGTAGCTTCCCTATCTTGATCTTTGTTCATTTATGAATATATGAGAAAAACACTATACTCAGAAATAACAATTAAAAGATAAATCTTCTACAAATATAAACGCTTATATTAGTTACTAAACTGTTGAAATAAGTAGAAAGTATGAAATAAACATAAGAGTTGACTTAAACAAAAATTACCTAGCAGTTCCTTTTCTCTCCTTTTTACTGGAAACTGTTATGGTTATTCATCACACCTAAAGTCTTCAAGTCAAATAACATAAGAAGGCAAGGTCAAACAGATTCAAATAACTGACTAATATAAAACAAAGAACTGTGGATGCCAGAGCGCTGAAACTAAAACAGAAATAGCTGGAGAAACTCAGTCCTGATGAAGAGTCCCCAGACTTTGGTTCTGTTTTCTCCCCATAGATGTTGCCAGGCCTGCCAAGTTTCTCCAGCAATTTCTGTTTTTTTATTTTAAATAATTGTCTCTTTGATTCAAAACAAATTGACAATCAAACACAAATTTGAACAAACTTACAAGGTGAGAGTATTTGAATTGACTAGCCTATTTCCATCATTCAGGCTCCAATCTGAGATGTAACCATTGGTACTAACATACAGCATATTGGCTTGAGAGTTGAGCAGCACTGTTGACCGCACCTTACTATCTGTGCTCTAACATCAGCGATAAAGGAACAAGCCCTTGCAGTTGGCAAATTTTCACTGTATGAAGAGAATAGTTTGAAGGGAAATTTATCAAGGCATCCAATGGCCCAACCACCCAATGTGGTTTCCTGGCTTGACCCATATTGGTGTGAGATCCAAATTGGCAAGAGACAAGTTACCAGAGGATGTGTCACACTTCTTGGTATGCTCAAGAAGCCAGATTTTATATCCTGCTCCAACGTTACTGCTGTTACTTTCAAAATGAAGTGCATTGGAAGTACGAGAGCAGTGTGAGATAGAAATGTAAAGATGCAAACTCTAGCTTCCACTTTGCAGAAGGATCAATACCTCTATCCCTTGGGGCTGACAATTGGTGCGTACATGACAAATAGAGAAAGCAGCCCTGACCTGCTTGAATGTGCTGTACAAATCAGAACGGTCAAGTCAAGCTAGTACAGATTAATTACCAAGTTCAAGGTTCACTCCTGCAAAATAGATTGTACTGTAACTACTACTTGTATTGTTTTCTTCAGACTGCAAACAATACAATGTTACTGATTTCTCACTCACAAACCTTACTGTAAAAAACATTAAAGTGAGGCTGATAAAATCCTAAGCTGTTTTCTCAAATGTGCAGATGAATCCTGTGTCTTTCAATATACGTTTGTTATGAAGTTATGAAAAATGAATGGCATTGCAGTCCAGCTGAAGTGCCATTGCATCGCTTCCTGGCAATGACACCAATCTACACTGTGGCTCGCCATCTCTAGGGAGCTGCATTGAATCTAGTCCCATTGTGATGGGAGATATAAAGATAGTCTCAATGACAAGGTTAACAGGTGAAATGATTTCTGGCAGACAGTGAGCTTTCCAGTTGACCCTGTCCTCATCACATAACAGCCCCCATTTAACAGCCTCTTGTTAGATACATGTTGAAAGTAAACAACAGAGCAAATCAGATGTTCTTCCAATGTAAGAGTTGAAGACATATCTTGGAATGTATTAAACAATAAGATTATTATGTACTCCAAGATGTCTAGTCAAATAGGACATGCGTTTCTTTCTTTGGGCATAAAACGAGAAAGAAAGTAGAGTACAACAACATGTTGAGGTTCAAATCTTCATCAATAGTAAATCTTCATTTGAACAGAAATTGCAGGATGTCACTTTTGGTGTATGTCACAAGTGTTTGAAACTCACAATCGGCCATTTGACCTGTCATACGGGTGCCCCATTTAATGCCACCCCAGCTATTTTGGCATAGTTCTGAGAAAGCAAATGTGCATAGAAATTGAACTAGGTTTATTGTCACAGGTACTGAAGTTACAAAGAACAGGAGCTTGATGAAAAGTGTACAATTTCGCCAACAGACGGTGCCATCTGAGATACCAAGTACCTAGATACAAACCTTAGGGACATGAAATAGAGAAAATAAAGAAAAAATATTACACTGCATTACAGATATATACAGAATAAGTTATAAAAATAAGAAATAAAGCTCAAAAATAGGCATTACGGTCTTTCCATAAGGGTTTCCATGTGGTCTCATCAGGTTGTCCCAGATCCCAGCCAGAATCCATCCTTTTTCCGGGCCCACCGACCACCGTCCCCACTCTGCTCCGGGCCACTGGGCACCATCCCCTCTCTGCTCCAGGCCATTGACCACCGTCCTCACTTAGCTCTGGGCCGCCGTCCCCACTCCGCTCCGGGCCACTGGGCATTCTCCCCGCTCCGCTCCGGGCCAC